ATAAGTAATTTAGTTTCTTTATTACTATAAATAGCATAATAATTACCTATATGACACCAATTGTGACATTTCTGGTAAATAAATGCTCTTTTAAGGTGCAACATGGGTCGAATGAATGAGTGCTTGCCAGCCAGATCTTGACTCAGATTTCACAAATACATATTACAAATAGTAAATAGTATTAGTATGTTTTTCTTTTCAAAAAAAGCACTGCTTTAAGTCCATTTTGCTTAAATTTTGTTCATTTCCCTCTTTTGATTTCAATATAACGACCAGTGTGGTTATTGACAGTCAAAGGTGGATAAATATAGCAACCCTGGTCGTATATAACGACAAAGTTAATCCCTTCAAGGTCATTATAAACGATATCCACTGTATATTTATTTCCAATTTGAAAAAAATATTTACTTACAAAACAAATTCCCTGGCCTTAAAAATTTTCCCCTGACTTTTCCCTGTTTTGAAAATTCCCTCACTTTTCCCATTTTTCCAGGTTTTCCATGTCGGTCGCCACCCTGATATACCCACTCTCAATCTAAATTATTATACATTAACATCAATTTTTATTATTTTAAATAATATTATGGGTATTTTAATGTACAAGTGATAGTATTTTCTTTATTTTATAATACAAAAATTTAAAAAAATCACTTATAGAAGATTAACAATTGTAAAGAAATTTATTATATATAAGATATGATGTACACAACATTTTTAAGCAGTCATTGTTACAATTCTCCATCTGAGATAATAGTACTCCTGTATTCACAGCTTATACATTTTGTTACATTTTTTTAATGTGCCTTTCTTTAAAAATTGAAAAATATTTCTCCATTTGTTGTCCACTTGACTGTTTAAGGAGTACCGGCAGTGTTTGTGCCAAAAATGGTTTGAATTTCCCATGTTACGGTGAGTGGTGGGAGCAGATAAGAAGATCTAAAAGATAAAACTTAAGCCTCAAGAGCTGCTGGTTTTCTCGGTCACTTCCTCATTGGCAGTCACGGAGACAGCACCACCACCGGCACCTGAGGGCCCTCCAGGTAACCAAAATATATAAGCTAGCATAAAGACGGTAAGCTATTTTTTGCACAATCAGCATAACCTACCAATCCATTAAGATACAGTCCACTGCATACAATTAGAATGTTGCCCATAGTTTTGAATGTTGCCTTATTGAACCTCATGAGAGTTATTTGCCTTAATTAGAAAAGATGTCTAAACAGGCACCTTTAAGAATCTTCTTCAGAGGACACCTTTTGGGATCCCCTCCTCAATTAGAATATTAAACAGCTTCTGATGGTCAATGGAAATGGAAGCTTTATTGAAATTGATATAAAACTGATGAACACCATTTTATTCTCATTTTTTCTGTTAGGAAAATATTTAGTTGTAAAAAAGTTGTAAAATATAAGCAGTCTAATGGCTATCAAATGGCTCTCGGCGGGATATCGTATGTCGATACCCATAGCCCAGGAAAACCCAAGAAATGGCCCTAGTCCTACTCCCACTTCCTCATAGTGACTGCTGGGAAATGCACACCTCGGTGGACATTAGCTAACGGGAGAGGGCACAGGCGAGCTTCTGGCGCCTTAAAACTGGAACCTTTGACTAGGAGAGAAAACACTAAAAGAAAACTCCAGTCCTCCAGGTTGGAGGTTGGGCACAGGGCCAACTATCATATCCAATAAAAACCCAACGAGTCCCTTAGAGACCACAAAAAGTCTCAGAAAAAAATGGATTACATAGGAAACGACATAGGCTCCCATTCATAATTAGCGGCAATAGGCAGAACATTATGGGCACAAGTTTTGCTGTAAGAAACTCTCTCCTGCACTCTGTTTTCAAATAAATAACAGTAAACGATAGAATATGTGCATAATGGTTGAGAGGAAAGTTTTTCAACATTTCCCTTATTAGCATCCATGCACCTATAGAAGGTAAAGATAATGAAGAGAAAAATGATACCTTCTATGGAATGTTAGAAAAGATGCATGTAATGATTCCTTACTTAAGCATGATGTCAAAATAATTTTGGGAGATTTTAATGGTAAGTTAGTAAAAGAAAAGATATTTTTCCCAATTCAATGGCAAGGAACCTTAGAACAAGAAGCATGTTTTTCTCTCATTAAGATATTCAAAAAGAAATATGGACCTCGCCGGATGGCCTGACCAAAAATCAAATCGACCATGTTCTCATTGATGCCTGACACGCCAGTAATATTTTTGATGTTTGCAGTTAAAGGGGAGCTAACTGCGACTCAGACCATTATCTGGTAAACATCATTGACCATTATCTGGTCAACATCATTGACCATTATCTGGTCAATGATTTTATATAAACAAAAGTTGGCACTAAGAGAAAAAGAGATTGTAAGAAACACTACCACTTAGGGGCGGGGTGGCTGAGTGGGATAATGCGTGTGTACAGCACTGCGAGTTGCCCAGCAACCTGATAACCAAGTTACAGGCAAACAAAATAAATACGAGTTCGCATCCCAGTGCTGGAGGAGTCTTTTAACTCTGGTATTAATCACATACCTTCATCCCCTGTTCTGGAAGTGAGTAAAAAGGTTTTAATAAATTAATGTTGAACAATTAAAAGGAAAACTAATCTAGTTCTACTAGTGTAGAGAAAAGAAAATGTCTGCTCTGTAGTTTCCCAAGAAGGAAAATCCCAAAGAGGAGAGGGACAAACGTTATTGTTTTGGCAAGTAGTTTTTGTGTGACTGCAATGAAGAGATGATAGGAGAAGTGATCCTGGCTCCAGTGGGAAAAACCCAGTAATAGTGTTACTAATTTGGAAGAACTTTGGAAAGTGTTTGAAGACAAATGAGTTCAGTGTCACAAAGGAAACATGCCATATCTCTTGACCATCGGTAAAAGATGAGTGGCAGGCCTGCTTCAAAGCCATAGATGAAATGACTGATGCAATTCTCGGACCAGTCCAGAAGGAATGCCGTTCCCCGTGGTTTGATGACAAATGCGCAAATGCAGCTCACCAGAAGAATGTGGCATATTATGCTATTAGTCCGTGGTACAGACAGTTTTTTATCAAATTATTAACATTCAGCCAAAACTTCATAAATAGCTTCATCTCATCGTAACATAAAAATACTAAATTTACAAAAATTCTGAGAATTGGGGAGTTTTCAATTTGGAGGCAGACAAACTTTGTCTATTTAATTAGGTACTAAAAACCCATTTGCTTTCCACTCAAATGGTAAGATAACTTCAGCACAGAGAAGACATTTTGTAGATCTCCTAGAGAGTGGATAGTGGACTGAAGATGGAAAAAAATGGAGACGTAGGGAGGTATATATTATTAAGTAAAGGAACGTACCAAGCAGATATTGTCTATAGAATGAGGTAAATATTAACTCAATAATAGTAGGAAAACACAATCTATCTGGGCCCCATTAATAAATTGTACAGTTATGCATATAATTATCATCAGTCTGTCTACAAGATCTGCAGAGAGACCACCATACACCAAGCCCCTATAGCCAAAGTGGAGGGAAATGAGGGATGATAATAAGAGTCTACTCATAGGTTTGGGTAGGAGAAGTCAAAAGTGATGGAAAAGTAAAGTAAAAACGTTTATCCTATACAACAAACTTTACAGCTTCCACTAGCATTTCAATTATATTTATTGGGTGCCAGTTGCACTACTTGATATTATCAAGTAATTGAAATTCTCCAATCAAATATTCTTTCTTCTGGCTAAATATTACACATAATACTTTATTTTCAAAAACCTTCTTTTTGTAGATTTTGTTCATCCATTAATACAGGCAGCTATGTCTTTCATCCATAAATAACAGTAGGAAATATAGTTAAGTTATTGAGTAGAATAGTTTCTTACTTCCAGGATCCTGGACAGTAGACTTGAACAAAGTAATTTTGAAACAGAGAAATAACAGCCAATTCCAGCTTATAATCTTGTTTTTAAATACTCTTAATTCAATTCTTTTAGTAATTGTTAGTTCCAAAAAACTTAAACTTATCTACTAAGTAAAACATATTTTTTATTTGATTTAATAGTTCTTCATCCAACAAGACTAGCTCTCCGACATCACCAAGCATGAATATTTTACTGGTCAAAACCGATTTTGATATAAATTACCTTTGTAATGATATATTCCAGAGCTAAATTAATTAAAACTAGGTAAGTGAATTCCTCAGTTCAAACCTCAAAATGCTCTCTAACTTCGCAGAATAAAAATTACTAATTGGGGTTCTATTAAATGTTTTATACATGCAGATCCTTTTTATCATTCCTATGGTATTTCCTGCTCTATCAAGATTTTATACAACTTAACAAGTTCAATGAAATAAGCCCTCATGAAAATTATATAAAGCAGGTGAATAACAAAAGTACCTTGGTACTTTTTATCTATCCTCTGCTGTAAAGAAAATATTTGGTTGATAATTGTTCCCTTGAACAATATGCTAAGAATATTATTGATTCCAGATGCTTTATTTGAAATTGGAAAGCTATGTTGACTTCTTTCTTCTTGTGCTCTTCTTTAAGTGAATGGAAACATACTAGTCATCTAGTATATAAAAGTAAATATATTGTTATTTACTTTTTAATTTGTAAGATGTATTGTTTGTAAAAATTTTGGTATTTACTTTACTAAAAATAACATGAATGTGTTCTTTTAACTTATATAATATGTCTAATAATTATTACAGGCTAATTTATACTTATTTAACTTGCTAATGGATTATTTTAACTTTTCTTAATTCAGCATTAGGTAACTGGTATGTATATCTTACCATCCAAAGAATAAAAGTAAAATAAATATACCTGTCATGCTTGTTTGTAATGATTTTAAATTGAGAACTTGAATATGTTTTCAATAAAAAAAAAATATAATACTCTTGAGTACAAAAAAAGTTTTGTAATCAGGGTTACAAAAAGTTTAGTCAGAATCAAAGTTTATATCAAATAATTGATCAAATAGAAATGAATTAGACTAAACTAAGAAAAATCTTACAATTTTCTGACATCTACCAACAGCTGGCTTGTTATTCATAGCACACCTAACTATAGCACGACCATAGGAGATATAAACCACAGAAGCAGCCACATCATGTGTTACAGAGGTAGGTTTGTCTTCAGTGGAGTTAGGATTTATGTCAGAAAGCCAATTACTCTTATACGGGTCATAAAACCTGATGCCTGAGTCTCCAGCATACAAAAGTCTAGCTGCAGCACCTAGTTTGATCAGAAATTAATGATATAAAAATTTTAATTTGAAAAATTGGAGAGAACATTTTTTAATACAAAATAAGCATGCATAATGTTAATTAACACTGAATTATATATTATTAAATTTTACTATGTAATAAACCTAATCATTAAATTTATTCTAATTTAATAAAGCCAAGAAGTAGCCTTTTACTATTATATTATATTAACATTAAATTCTATCAGTAAAAAAATAATAACTTCTATTTTTCCTAGGGTTCAAATAGATAAAGTAGTTAACCTTTTGTATATCCAGTACAGTAAAATGTGGATTTTGTTTTGCAGTTGGTGTTTGGCTGGGGTAAAGAGAGGATGGGAGAAGGGATCCTGGTTCCAGTGGGTAAAAGGTCATTTATATTAATCACTTTTCCATCCTGATCCATCACCCCAATAACAAATCTATGCACAAGATTTCCAAATATACCTGTCCTTCCCACTTTCTGATCTATTCCCAGCAACAAGAAGACTTAAACAGAGACTATGATTGGGCAGAATCTAACAAGGTTAAGTTAAAAGCGGAGAATACAAAGGCAACAGTGATAGGCTCTAATCACCTCCTTAAAACTGTTCCTTATACTCCAACCCAGTACCTAAATGATAATCCCATCAAATTTTATCCTGACATTAAAAACCTTGGAATAACCTTTGATGAAACCCTTTCCTGGAGAAACCATGTATCCAATATTTTCTGCCGGGCCTTTTCTACCTTAAATGTCTAAATTACCTCTTTCACCTATTTCCATGGGAAACCCGTATACTTAATATTCCCCGACTTTGACTACTGTTGTGCAGTACATTGTGGAGTCTCTGGGAATCTCGAGGCAAAACTAAAGTGATTGATAAATTATTTTGCACGTTTCATCTTTGGAATCCCAAGGGACAACTTTATTTCTCTTTTTTATGAAGAGTTGAAGTGGCTTTATCCATCCTACCATCACAAGTATTTCCTGGAATCCGATAATCATATATCTCCAAGTTGCTTCCATTCAAGTCCTCGGTTCGTTCCTATAAAACCCACTCTAGATCTTCACACCTAAATACTATAGCCCACCAACCGCTGCTTTCACCAGATCTTTTGTTATCCAATCCTTGTCCCTATGAAATTCCTTCCCACATCCATCAGTCCAATACCCTCTCCATATTTAAATCCTATATCTTTAATCATTTCCTATCCACACAGTTCCCAAAAAAACTGTAAATAGATAAGTTTGTAAATATGTACATAAATTATTTTTATTATTTCATGTTAATTTCATATTTTTCAATTGTTTTATTTAATATTTGCTAATATTAGAGGTTACAGCATGATTTCTTATTATTTCTGTTTGTTTATTCTTTTTTCTTGTTACTCTGAGGCTCTAAAACCTATTGTTCTGTTTTTGAATATTATCCTAAAGTGACGTCCCAGAATAAATAAAGAGTTTATTATAATTATTTCTATTTATTTGTTAACGCTTAAAAAAAAAGGATTTTCCTGGAGTATAGAAGAATCAACTTCAACCACTTCCCGTCAATTTTTGTAATCGGATAATTTATTGTATATCTAGTAAGCTTCTTACAATTCTCACAGTGTTCAGCAGCAGTTTTCTGGGCTTCATTTATTGTGGCTTCCACAATAAATGGTGGATATTGGTATTAGACCATTGCTGGAGACCACTAAAGTCCTTACTGTTACTTTTTATAGTCTGTACTAATCTTTTAACTTAGCTGTTAGGGTTTGATATTTCCTATTTTTTTCTGCGCAGATTGAATTAGTGTTTCCATCATTTGATACAGCAATATTATGGTCCTGACCAAATACCTGTCAAACTCTGCCTTCCAGCTTTACTACCCGCACTTCTACACATATATAATTTCTCTCTCCAAAATTCCATTTTTCCCAAATCCTGGAAAAGAGCCATAGTCCGTCCACTGAAGAAAGTTCCAACTCCTTCATCAGATTCCGACTTCAGACCCATCTCCATCCTATCCGATATATCCAAGCCACTAGAAAGATTAGTTCACTCTCAGTTGAACAGCTTTCTCGAGCAAAACCATCTCCTCAATCCCTTACAATCTGGTTTCCGATCCCAGTATTCCACCCAGTCTGCCTTGCTAAGGATTAGCCAAGACCTCCAATCTGCCATAGATAAACAGAAAATCTCCATCCTAATTCTTTTTGACTTTTCCAAGGCGTTTGATTCCGTTAATCATGAGATCCTTCTTTCCAAACTCCAAAGCCTGCCCATGTCAAACAGCGTCCTAAAATGGTTCCTATCCTTCTTATCCAATCGATCTCAGACAGTCACAATACCGAATAAACCTCCATCATCATCACTTCAATTAACGCGAGGTGTTCCTCAGGGTTCCTCACTCTCCCCGACCCTTTTCTCCATCTATATTAGTGACCTTCCTAACGCCATTCAACACTCCAATTACCACCTATATGGCGATGATTTACAAATATACCAATCATTCCAACCTTCTGAGATGCCTGAGGCTGCCCGGAGGCTACAAGAGGACATCGACTGCATCAACAGAAGGGCAGAAATAAATGAATTAAAGCTGAATGCAGATAAAACCAAGGCTATTATCATCGGGTCCAAAAATCTCATCAGCTCCCTTCCTTACTCTCCTCTACTTTACCTCAATAACCACCCCATCCATTTTTTCCCTACAGTCAAAAACCTAGGAGTAACCTTTGACCAGAAGCTCTCCTGGGATAATCATATCTCCCAGATTACCCAAAAATCCATAACTGCCCTTAAACAACTCCTAAGATTCCGTGATTGTATTCCTCTAAAAACCAGACAGCTCCTTGTAAACCTCCCTTGTATTCCCCCACTTCGACTACGGCTGCTTGGTGTATGGAGGGCTATCTGCCAGGCTGGAATTGAGACTAAAAAGACTCATGAATTGTTTCATAAGATTCATTTTCGGGATCCCCAGACGTTCACATGTTTCACTATGGTACACCGAGTTGAAGTGGCTTTATCCCGACGACAATTCCTTCTTGGCGTTTTCCTTTTCCAAGTCTTCAGAACTAAAAACCCTCCCTACATCCTGGAACTCGTTACTCTGCGCTCCTCTATCCACTCTCTCAATACTAGGTCTCAACCTACAGGCTTATATATTCCCTCCCATAAAACTTCCTCCTTCAGCAAATCCTTCGTCATTCGTGCTGCTATCTTATGGAACTCACTTCCTACTCCTAAGTAGATTCAAACACACTGGCACAGAGCCTGCACTTGTCTGATACTGTCTGCTGCTTCAGGACATGTCGGAAGTAAGACCTTGTTGCTATGACCTGGTCTTGAATTGCTGTCAGAAAGTCCTCTGTCTCGGGAAACAGACTTCTTTTAACCAGCCAACTAGTAGACAATGTTTTGTCTATTTCATTTTGCTGGAGCTGGTGAAAAAATATTCCATGCAATGCTTTCCATTCTTCTAGTCGGTCATTGTCCGTGACAATGATAGATGCAGCAGTTTCTTGTGTAGCTAACTGTAACGCTGAGCGTGTGGAGATTAAACATTATCTTATGAAAAAGTACCTTACTTTGTTTGAAATAATCTCTGAGGGCCATTTCTTGTTTTTGACATGCCTCTTCAATATTTGTGAGACCTGGCATTTCTAGCTGTTCATCAATTTCTTCAAGAGTTCTATTAAATATGGTTGTACTTTATACAAATCCAAGACTTGGATGTGTATAAAGTACAACCTAACTGTGAGGGACCAAGTCGAATGCTTTCCTGTCATCAATCCATGATATTGACAAATTTATTTTATTCATGGTCATTTGGCCTGAAATGAATGAGTTTATGAGCCATGGGTTCCTTTCCTACATTCAAGTTGCTCCAGAGGAATCAAATTATTGGATCGCAAATGGCATTAAATTTCACTTGGGAGAATGGAGGCCAAAGTCTTATAAACTCTGTTGAGGCAAGTAATTGGCCGAAAGTCTTGTGGTTCCAATCAATCTCCTTGTTTTTTAGGAATTAGAATGGCTACACTCTGACAGAACGTTTTAGGATTGTCTATCTGTCATCTTAGGATTTTGTTATACAATATCATACAATCCTCATCATCTACAACCAAGAATGGTGTGTTTATTTTTAAGCTGCCTTTCACAATATATAGATAAACACAACTGATTGGCTCAATAATAAATCCACCAAAGGATTTAAGCAGCACATTTGTTTTTGTAATATGTGTCCCAGCCTTGACCTTCCACAATGCTTTGGTAGTTATAAAATTAACTTGGGATCTAGAGTCTAATTTAAATTCAATGATCTGGTCATTAAGTTTCAACGTTGTCAGCCATTTATTCTTCTCTCCTAAGTGATAGCATCACATGAACACACGTTTTAAGTATCTAAATTATTAAAATTTACCAATTCATTTAGTTTTTTTTTTTTGTTGTTGTCCTGTGTACATTTCATTGTAAAATGGTTAAGTTTATAACATACAGAACCATTCTTATTGAATGTAGGGAATCTTCCTTTAGTGTGCTAGTACCCACAACACTCACATTCATATGTGCCATCCTTAGGGGACATGCCCATTGTGGTTTCTTATTCATATTCAAAATCTCTGCTGCGTTTTCATGGAGCGATGCTGAATTTAGATCTGTCTTCTTTAAAATTATCAAGTTTGCCTCTGCCATTTTCACTACTTTGCAAAAGCTGATGGATTTTTCTAATGAAGGCTCTTTCCTTAAAAGGCTTTCTTGTGCATTTTTGTCATTGATTCCAAGAATAATTTGAGGTTTGAGTAATTTATCTTCTTGTTATCTGAATTTAAAGGGCGCTATCATTGATTTAAGATCAGCAAAAACTCTTTTAAATGGTTCATTAAGAGCTTATTTTCTACTAAAGAACTTTTCTATTACCATTGTTTCATGATGTTATTCTAGATCTTCCTGTTTCAGCTTTATCATAGTGAAAATGTCTCTTCATATGAGAGATGGTGTTACGTATTCCACATTTTA